CAATTGGAGGTGTTGGCACGGATTGTAATCGGGGTGATCATGGACTTGGAGTTACTGAAGAAGACGATGGGCAACTTGGTACAAAGATGGGCTGTGATTTTGGAGATGAATGGAAAAAGGACTGCAAGACAGAGAGTTATGGACTTAACGTGTGGATCAAGTAACATTTGGCGATTCTTAAATTGGTTTTGTTACCATAGCCAGGTTTGAAAACAAACACTTATGAACGATTTTACTTGAACAATCCGTGTGTAATCGGGTGGAAATTGTTTACTGTAGTTTCATATTGATATAAGAATTTGGAAAAAGATAGCACACAGACAAAACTAACACACAACCAAACGCGACCGAATCTGGAGCAGAACTGATTTACTTGCGTAAAGCGCGCGTTACAAATGTGATCGCTCACGTGTAATTGCCAAATATGGATGTAGAGTAATCTTGACCTTGTCACACGTGTGTTCTTACTATGACAATCAGTAAACATTATAGAACCATGGGACTATGGTTGCCCYGTTGAACTTACAAATCTTCACCTGTTGGGTTAACCTTGTTTATTGAAATGGAGACTAAAGTTGTTCTTCATACATTGCGTATATAGAATAGATAAATATAACACAGGTATTTTTTAAATGRAGGGTGTTCAACTCTCTGGACTATAACCATTGATTCCATGTTTTTAGCATCATCACACAGCATGCGAGTTTCAAAAACTAAATTGAACACTAATACATCCAAGGCACCCAAAAAGAAACTATCCAACAATATGGAAGCTCTACTTTATATGATCTACAGTACAAGGTCAAACAATTACAAACGTTGTAGTTAATATAAATGAATTYCAGCAGTAAACATGCGCAGTTCTTATAAGATCTCCACAACTGATTATTCTCCATGAAAATATTCAGCTATAACTTGTAAATAAAATAAATAAAGAAACCACTACCACACAGTGGTTACTATTTATAGAGGTGGTCTGACTGTATGAATATTATTGTCGGCGTTGTCGTGGGAAATCAGTCATGCTGCTTCGAATGATTTCATCAAAAATTATACGACTTTCTCACTCGGTTTTATGTTGATGAATTATTATTTGCATAATGCTAAWACAAATTGGGTCCTACTCGCCATACCAACTAATTCTGGGAAAGTCATTAGTTTAGAGCGGCAATGGGTAAATGCTTCACGGCAACATTTAGTATATCAGTGTCCAAAAATTATTCATGCCCAGACTAGATATAAAGAGGATATTACATGGGAGCGGAGATACGGATTTTATCTCTCACGAGTGAGCGAAGCGAAGATTTTCAACACTAGAAAATAAAAATCGTATCTCCAAGCAACCACGTAATATTTAATTTATCATATAATTATATAAAGTGAAAGCAAGTTATGACGTAAAATGCCTATACAGTGAGGTGACTTGACTTGGTAATAGCTTTGACGTACAGTCAGTGTTTTAGTATTGGCAAAATTATTATCAGTGTCTAATATAAAGACTAAATAAAGGTGAAAGTTTCTTTTTCACATTAAAAAAATGAAAAAAAAAATCAGATTTAATATTTCATTTTATGAAYTAGATTAAACTTGTTAGGTTCTTAGCAAGCATTATTCCAAAGATTTCGAAACAGTTGTGGGAAAAGATAAATTTTACACCGTAAAAAATAGGTGAAATAACTTACCGATTACTTTACCGCTAGTTCCCAGCAAAGATTTCGAGCCAGGTCAGGGACTGGAGGTATCACAAAAGGAAAAATTTCAAATTCAGCATGTTCGTGTTATTGATTAATTGGAAATAGAGAAAGTTGAGTTATTAGCGTTTACGGTGCTATAAAGCTGTTTATGGCCACCACAGAATGTAAAGCTTTTTTTAAATTATGCTTAAGTAGGAAATCCTGAATCGGAGCTAAATACATTTTGAARAAAAAGGGCCTTATATTGATCCTTGGGGTACACCATACTTTATGTCGCGAGGGCGGGAAGATATTGTTCAAGATATATGAAACCTTAATCGCATTACTAGTGATTCTAACGATGTGAATTTGGAATTGAATCTCGGATTGTTTCATTCACTGAAGCACAGACAAAAACAAAAAAAGCAACGGAAAAATAAACAAAGCAAAACAAAACAAACAACCAAAAAAAAAAAAAATAAAATAAAAATAAAATACATTCAATAAAAATAAAAATAAATAAAAATTGTAAGTGTTATTTTCGTCTCACTAATAAGACACCTTTAACGGCTGCGAGGAGTTTATGGTTAGAGATGCAGCGACCTAATTGTCATGGTTATGATTCAACTTTGTCATTTATTAATGAGTTATTTTAAGGGTTAGATGATACAAAGGACATATTATTCTCACGTTACAATCACATCNAAAAAATCAGATTTTTTTTAGCAATTTTTAATAAACTCTCGGTGACTGTTTTCAAAGTCGCGAGTGGAGAACAACAACTTGCTTTAATGGCTACCAAAGCACACACTAGTCACGTGATTACAACAAAGGTAATCCACAAGATATAACAAAGGGAGCCAAATAATACTACAGACATCGCTAATAAACAACATGTTGACATGCAAATTCTCTTTTTCAAAGTGTTTTTAGGGAAACTGTGACCTAAGGGGCGACCCATAGACTTTTCAAGGGGGGAAGGGGGGCCCAATTGCAATATTTTTTGTAAATTTACAAAAGCTTTAGCGGAGATTTTTCAGAATTTTGTCTTGAGGGAATCTTTTTTCAAAATCTTCCATCCCCCCTCAAAAGTCTAATGGATCTCTCCTAATTGCTATGTTTATGATTTCATTCTGGTAAAACCGTGAATTATTAATTGCTTTTTTCAAAGGTGTGTGTCTGTAAAGCAATGGTTATCATTCGTAGCTCACAGSCTGGACAGCATGACCAACTTCAAAATTCTTCATTATGTAGCATTTTTGTGCTTTATAGTTTTGATGGAATGTATAGCAACATCAAGTAGTTCATTCAGTGGAAAAAAASTCGGAAGAGATCAAATTAACAAACTCGGCTACGCAATCTTTGTCAAACATAAAAACAGTTTTTTAAATGTCACTGCGGCGTTGAGAGGTTTTGTGAAAAWACCTGGAGAATGTGCGTTAATCTGCGTAAAGCATTCTCAAGGATTCTCGTTTAATTTTGCTGTTAATCCTGATGAATATGGAAGACATGCTTGTGRGATCCTGTCYACAGACAAGTACAAAGATTCAAGCAAGTTTTTGACTGGCAAGAGTGGGCAGTCGCACTACAGCATTAAAGTAAGTTTGACGGTTTAATTTATATTTTTGATGGTAACATCCAGTTATTTCTTTTATCTAGTGATCAAAACAATAAGGCAAGGTTAGAATCCTTCTAGTTTCCACAGAAAAATGAATATCTAGATTACTCATTACTGAATTTACTTTGTACATTTGGTTTCTATGTATTTGCCTTTGTTACGTGTATTTCCGGATTATGGCATTTTGATAATATCTCCTCCAAGTCTCCTGGAAATTTTAGTGATAACGACTCTTTGTCAATAAGTAAATAGTTTTAGTAAATAGTGACCGTGAAAGACTTGTGAGACTGGAATCGCACTCTGAATCTCTTGTATCCTTTTCTACCAAAACATATTTCATTCAGTGTGAAATAAAGATTTTATCTAGTACACTCTATATCACGTAGTTAACATTTATTTTCAATGCATCAAGTCTAAACACCTCTTTTTAATTTAAGGCCACCTGTTGTTTTCAGGCGCGTTATATTATAATGATGATTGTTTTCGCCCATCAATCATTTAGCCAAATTGTCCTCAGCCCTTTTTTAATGAGTTAGAAAGTTATGCACCGATTGACATGAGTTCTAAAGAGATCATAGCTGATTTTCTCTTTCTTGTTGTGTTGTGTTGGGTTGGGTTTTGTTGGGTTATGTGTTGTGTTTTGTTTTGTTGTATTGTGTTCTCTTTTGTTGTTATGTTGGGTTCTGTTGTGTTTTGTTTTCYAGAATTTATCTTAGACTAGACTAGACGCCCTAATGAAGTGAAAACTCATGATGTGCTATGAAAAAGCTAAGGATGTTGGATGCTGATTAGTAAATTAAAGCCGATCCTCGTAGCGTTATGCTGATGTGGAGTGCASAATTTAGATTTCATTGAAGAAATATGAGAAAGCGTTAGCGATGAGGCAGTTAATCATACTTTTATTAGTTTGACATATACATTGAACTAAGAACAGCTGATTTGCGAAAAATATCACATTTTCAATAACATTAGTCTAAATTAGGAAMACTCAGCACAGGTGATTTTTTATTCTTTTGTGATGGAATTAGGGAGTKATGAGTCAGGAAGTAGTGTGTGTGTTTTTCCATTCCCTTGTGATCCGTTTTCGAAAAATTGATATTTTCACTAGTGAAAAATAACACATTCTCGAGGTTTCGTTRAATAATGCAAGTAAGARAAAAAGGTGTTTTACGACATATTTTGTTTTCATATAAAATTATATGATAAATAGAATATTACATGTTCGCTTGGGGAYACGAATTTTATCTTCTCGTGTTGAAAATCTCTCACTCGTTCGCTACGCTCACTCGTGAGAGATCTTTTGAACACTCGAAGATAAAATCCGTATCTCCGYGCGCCTATGTAATATTCTCTWTATATATGTCTTTTGTTTCCCTAATAACTAAATTGCCGTTTATTTGCACATAGCAAGTACAACTGTGTGAACTTGAAAAAGGAAAAAAAAAACAAGTAATAACAATTCATGAATCTCACCTGACCGCCGATCACGCCGAGCATATGTCGAGTTGCACGGCGATCGACGGCCAGCGGTTTGTTGGTAACTAAGTAAAGTAAAGTTCGTGAGATCCCCCCCTTCCCCGTGAACGACAAAGAGGCACGAGTCGTTCACAACTATGCTTCCGCTTGGGATCTGTAGTCTCCACGATACAGAGTTTCGTCGTGTAGGTCCCACTTGCAGCCTTCACTTCGGCTGCTCTGGCTAYTCCATCGTCGCCGAAGATTGGTCGAAGAACCCGTCCAGTTGGCCATCTCCCACGTGGTTGATTTTAGTTGACGATCAGAACGAKATCTTCTTCGCAGATGTTAGTAGTTAGTAGTCCATACACTCGGTCTTGCAGCTTCAGTCTGCAGTTCTGGATGAAGCAGTAGATCCAAGCGATCGCCAGGATGAGAACGTCTTAGCATCCATGCACAGGCAGGTGAACGGCTGATTTTACGNGTGATATCAATTGGAGGTGTTGGCATGGATTGTAACCGGGCTGATCATGGACTTGGAGCTACTGAACAAAACGATGCGAAACTTGGTACCTCTTTGGGCTGTGATTTTGGAGATGATGGGAAAAAGGACTGCAAGACAGAGACTTATGGACTTAACGTGTGGATCAAGTAACATTTGGCGATTCTTAAATTGGTTTTGTTACCATAGCCAGGTTTGAAAGCAAACGCTTATAAACGATCATTTTACTTGAACAATCCGTGTGTTCTTACTATGACAATTAGTAAACATTAGAACCATGGKACTWTGGTTRCCCTGTTGAACTTACAAAATTTCACCTGCTGGGTTAACCTTGCTTATTGAAATGGAAACTAAACTTGTTCTTCACACATTGCGTATATAGAATAGGGGTTATATAAAATGTTGGGGTTATATAAAATGTTGGGGTTACAAYCTTACCTCCACTGCCTTGTGGTTTGTCGTTGGTTCGACTAAGGCTAAGGRAAACCAACCCCGATAGAAAATTCGGAGCGGATTCCCGTAGGCGGTTTCTTGTACAAACTCTGGCTGTCAAGTTGYCGGCAGATTCCTGCATTMGGGCTYATCTCCAGCCGTCTTGACTACGTCTTGCCACTGGAATTAGGTGATCCTGAACAAGAGAGTGTGGACGATGCTGCGGAAGTTCTCTACACTATAATCYAAGTCTCGCGCATGTCATGACTTCCAATCTATTTCGTGCATTCCATATACTTAGTTTCACAAGTCCTGTGGCGACAGGCCCGCGGTGACGTAGCAGGTGTGGAATCACTGGTAGCTGAAGTCGYAAACCTGCACACAGGCGGCTCAGGACTCTGGTTGTCTTCCTATGACCGAAGCAGCAACGGAAACCGGCAGCATCATGAGTGACTGAGCAGCCCTATTTAGGATCGCACTGCTCACCTCCTAGTATGGGGAAGGGTCTAGAAAAGGTGACCTAAACATTGAAGTTACAAATGAATTCCAACAGTAAGCATGYGCAGTTATATTCAGCTATACCTTGTGAATAAAATAAATAAAATGCCACACAGTGGATGGTAAAAAGAGCTGGCCTGACTACCTGAATATTATTTTGGCGTCATCGTGGGCAATGTGATGCTGCTTCGAGTGATTTCATCAAAATTATACGACTTTCTCACTCGGTTCTATTAGGTTGATGAAATATTTGCATAAGGCTAWAACAAATTGGGCTCTACTCGCCATACCAACTAATTCTGGGAAAGTCATTAGTTTAGAGCGGCAAWTGGGTAAATGCTTCACGGCAACATTTTATATCAGTGTCCAAAAAATATTCATGCCCAGACTAGATATATAGAGGATATTACATGGAAGCGGATTTTATCTCTCACGAGTGAGCGAAGATTTGCAACACGAGAAGTGAAATTCGTATCTTCAAGCAACCACGTAATATTTTATCCGCATATAAGTATATATATAAAAGCAAATTATGACGTAAAATTMCTTTTCTTTACGTCTAATATATAGARAGACATCGAATGTGTGAAATAAAAAAGACAGCGTTGAATATTCACATTAGTAACAATTTATACAATGAGTTGAC